CTGAACCCAGTGACCCCCTCCTGCAGCAGGCCAGCTGCTGGGGGTGACAATATTTTGGAGGAATTTCCCCATTCCCTTCTTCAGTTCCTTCTCACTGAGGTCTGGCATGGGGCCCTTGTCTGCTCCTCAGCACGGGAAGGGTATCTTGGATTCACCAGGGTCTCCTGGGCACCACCTTTAGCTCTGGTGCTTAGGTATTTACCCCAACACCTCAACGTTCACCATGGCATCTCACAGACCCACATGGCTGTTCTGGTATGTCCCGTCTGGGATGTCTTCTCCCCACCTCGCCCATCTCAGCACTCATGGTCAAAATCTAAATCCTTCATCTCCTACCCCTAGAGTCTTTACCTGGGGACTGCTGGAGGTGAGTCCCCACTGCTGTGTCCTGTGGCCTCCCATCCTCATCCTCCCTAGGGACTGACCCAACCCTGAGGTGCAGGAGCCTCCACACCCAGAGTCAAAGCAGCAATGCCAAGGTGACTCCCAGCTGGAGAGGCTTCCCAAGTGCCACATCTGTCTTCCATCCCACAACAGCTGCTTGAATCTCTCATTTTCCCACAGCTTTGTAATTAATGGTCTGGGAGGGGAAATGAGTTTGGAAGGGATTTTGGGAGCTGGCAGGTGCTCCCCACCCAAGAGCTACCCAGCACTGCCTGCCCAGCCTGTTCCCCCAGCCCCTTGCTGGGCTGCCTTCACAATTCTTCCTCTGCTGCTCCCTTGGGAAGTTTTTTACCCAAATCTCTTGCTGGTCTATTTGGATTTTTTTTATTTTTCCCTTCCCTTGGACCTGTTTCTGCTCATCCTGTTCCCATGTTCCTGGAGAACAGGTTGCATCCTTCTCCTCAGGAGCTGTTCCTCAGTATGAGGCAATGGCTGTGTCTGTACCTGTTCCTCACCCAGGGCATCCTACATCTTCCATACTCACCCTCACCAGGGTTCTTGTCACCCTTCTGCTTTGTCTCCCATGTTTTAGGGTCCCTGTGCCCATCAGTAGGTGTCCTACTGCTCCCTCCCCCTTTGTCAACAACACTGTCCCCTGGGCAGCTGGGAGTTGTGGCTGTCCCCAGCCCTGCACTTGCCTGTTCAATAAACCCCTGTCCTTGCTATCTGTCTGCTGTGTGTTGTTCCCAGAGCAATGGGAATATGCACCCACCAGGATGGGTGGCCAGGAGCCTGGGAGGGGGGATTCAGCCTTTCTCTGGGGTTCCCTCCCAGTCCATGGGGGCTCAGAGCACCTGGTGTCCCCCCATGCCTCTCTTAGCTCTCAGTGTCCTCCCCCTGCCTCAGTTTCCCACTGCAGGGAATGCCAGGAGCACCCTGGCTGACTACTGCTGATCCCCATGAAGATAGAGATGTTCCAGGTGCTGGAACACAGCAGCTGGCAGGGCACGGCACCCCCGGGACGCATCACCATCCTCCCCGCACCGCGCTGTTCAAAATGAGCCCAGGCAGCCTCGGTGGCACCAGGATGTTTATAGTCCCTGCCCTGGGGAAGGGCACATGTGGGGACCGTGCTGGGGGTCAGCCAGCGTGGGGATGGGCAGGAGGAGGCAGTGCAGGGGCAGAGTGTGGCACGGGGATGCAGAACAGAGACGGTGGTGCTCTGCCTTGGGCTGGCACCTGGGTACAGGGGCTCACACATAGTCCTTCATGGCATAGCCCATCGGGCCGCAGGATTTCACTGCCCTGTACTTCTTGGGGTAGGGGTCCTGCTGGGACTGGGATCCTGAGCAGCACAGGACGCCCCCACCGAAGAGCTGCAGGGCACTGGAGGCCCAGCCGATGTAGAGGGCAGCCCCCAGCTCTCTCTTGAGGGCCTCGGGCACCATGGGGTTGTAGAAGTTGCTGACGATGCTGTTGGCAGACCAGGAGACAGGGATGAGCAGCATGATGCTGGCCATGATGAAGATGACACCTGCCACCGCAGAGATCCTGCTCTTGGTGCCGTTGTCATCCACGCAGCGGGTGCAGTCGGCTCCCGAGAGCGCGATGAAGAAGGCGAGGAAGGCCACGAAGATGGAGGTGACAACCAGGGCACGAGCAGCTTGCAGGTCAGAGGTGAGCTCCAGCAGGGAGTCGTAGGCTTTGCACTGCATCTGCCCCGTGCTCTCGTAGACGCAGTTCATCCACAGCCCTTCCCAGAACACCTGGGCCACCACGATGTTGGAGCCGATGAAGGCCGTCACCTTCCACATGGGCAGGGCACAGGTGAGGATGGAGCCCAGCCAGCCCAGCGTGGCCATTATCAGTCCTCCCATCTGCATCGTCATCATCGCCATCCACAGCTCCTGCGGGGACAGGCACGGATGTCACAGGCACAGCCCACAGCCAGGGACAGCATGGGCTTCATCTGGTGTGTCCTGCTCCCCACAAGGATGGGAATGGCTGTAGGACAGCAGGGGGACATGAGTGACACAGGGACTTGAAAGACATGGGGCATGAGTGGCATGAGGTGGTGCTGCAGGACAGGATAGGAACACGTGGCGCTGAGGACCCAGGCCCCAAGCAGGCCAAGGTGCAGGAGCCCCCGTGTGTCACATAGCCCCTACATTGTCCCCACAGCATAGCACAGCCTCTGCCATCACCTCTTCCCAGGGCATGGCAAGTGTTAGGGAAGGGATGACTTTTGGGAAGCAGGATGGGGGGCTTGCTGTTCCCACCCCCAGCACTCCAGAGTGCAGACTCCCCACCCCACACTCACCCCATGTCCTGCCCTGATGGCCATCCCCCAGTGCCCACCCCATGTCCCACTCCACCACGGGTGCTCAGCCTTCCCGGCCATAAGCCTCATGCCAGGGACACAGGCAGGGAAGGCAGCCCCCCACACCACTCAGCACTGCCTGCTCCTGGTTTGGCTTTGCCCTCACAGCCATCCTACAGTGCCCTTTGGACCTGGGATCTCTTCTCCAGGAGAAAATGGAAATGGGACAGAGCCCAGCTCTGCCCTGATCCCTGGTCTGGGGCTCAGCACCTTCTGCGATACCATCCCAGAGAAGCCCCAGGAGCAGCCCCAAGAGGGCAAAGCCTGGTGAGGGGTTATGGGGTGGCATCCCCGGGACAGGGATGGTTGGTACAGGGACACAAGCTGGGCACACTGGCACTGTGGTCACGTGTGACTGCTGTGGCCCTGGCTCAGCCCACATGCAGTTCAGCCCCTCATGGAGCAGAGTTCACCCATGGCTGCCTATGCCGTGCTTGGCAGCTGGGACCAGCCGGGGTTTTATGGCCCAGCGGGTATCGGTTGTGCCTGGCACACCCTGTGGCTCTTGCCAGAGGTTTCCCCATCATTTCCCCTGTCTTAGTTTTGATTTCTCCGGCCTCTCCCGTTTTATCCCCACTCCTTACCCAGCATCTTTTATCCCTCAGGAGCCTGATGGACGCTCAGCACTGGGACTTTGCATCCCCCAGGCCATGAAAGACTCTTTGCGTCAAAATCACAGCTCCTCCCCCGTGCTCCAGGCAGGCAGGAGCCGGGATGGTGGGAGCCATCCCAGGCACTCTTCCCCAGCTAGCAGCACCTGGCCACACAAGACACCCAAAATAGGGTCTACGACCACCTGCGTGAGGACAAGTGGTGTCTCCATGGATCCTTGGGGATGCTCGACAGACCATTGTGCTCACATTTCCACCTGGCTACCGGCACCACAGGATTACAGGAATATTTTCCACCATTCCCGTGGCCCTCCAGCCCTCAGACCCAGATGAGACACCGAGAGCTAGGCAGAGTCACCCCTCGTCCCCCCAAACCCCGAGGTGGGGAGGGAGGATGTTCCCAAGCCAGAGGAGCACTTGCCGTGCCGCAAGCGATGTAGGCAAAACCCGCGGCGCTGCCCACGCCGGCCGCGGGGCGCTCCCAGCCGGGGCTGGGGGTGGAACCGGGGCCAGCGCGCCCCGACTCGCCCCGGACGGCGCCGCCACCTTCTCCCTGCTCGGGTGGGATGATCGCGGTGGGTCAGGCGTGGGACAGGCGTGGGACAGTCCTGACACCCCGTCTTTGTGCCGTGGCAGCAGCCGCTGTCACCCCCGGGGCGGCCCGGGAGGGGAGCGGCCAGGGACGCCAGGGCTGGAGCAGGAGGCAGGGATCTCAAGGGATCTCTCAGGAGGACGGGGGCACAGGAGCAGCGGGCTGTCCCACCACCGAGGCGGGTGTTGGAGAGGGTAAAGAAAACGAGGCACAGCGGGCTCTGAGCAGCTGCCGTTTAATGCGGGAAGGCTGGACACGGGGAGGGACGGCAGCACAGCCAGGGGTACCGTGAGACCGCACTCCCGGCCCCGGGCACCCGACTCTGGGACGACGGATGGGGTCGGGTCCGGGAGTCGTCCCGCACCACGCGGGGGCACAGCCCGGTTCCGGTCCCGCCTCCCCGACCGGTTTTCCCAGCCCGGCCGCTGCCTTCCCACTCCCAGGATAATGATGCCCCCGCCCTGGGGAGCTGCCGCGAGAAATCGCACTCTGTACGGCCGCTCCGAGCCCCGAAAGTAGGTCAAAGTCAAAATTTAGAGAACAGGCAGGTGACAGCCCCTGTCACCCCTCAAGACCCTGCCGGCGTTTGCAGATTTCACAGAACCACTACGTCCCTGTGACCATGTGGGACAGGTTTGCTGTCCCTACCAGCACCAACACCGCCACCCACCCCGAGGGACAGACACGTCCCGGGGAGCTTCACGCGGGGAAAGAGAGCCCTGTGCCACCCGTGGGACGGGCTCTTGGGAGCTGTGTCACCACATGGCACACCCCGATACCGGGAGCCGGCAAATGCTCGAGGAGGAGATCAGGCGATGTCTCGGAGAAGATGCCTCAGCTGGACGCTGTGGGGGGGGGGAGCAGAACCCCCACCGCGGACAGCCAGGACAAGATCTCCTTGTCCCCTGTCTCAACCGAGATTAAAGAACCGGCTTCAAGCCCGGTGGAACAAAGGCAGCTCTGTCTGCCTTCCCCCGCACCGCCCCGGCGCCCGGCCGGTCCCAGCCCAGCCGGGGAGGATGGGTGTCCCGCGAGGTCCCCGCGCCCTGGGGCGGCCGGGGGCTCCTACACGTAGTTGCTGGCCGGCAGCGAGCGAGCAGCCGTGAACTTGGCGGAGTAGGGCTTCTCTCCGCGGGGAGGGCAGGTGCAGCACAGGATCCCTCCCCCCAGCAGCAGCAGCGCCGAGGCCGCCCAGCCCACGTAGAGGGACGAGCCCAGGTCCCGCTTCTGCGAGTCAGAGACCAGCGGGTTGTAGAAGTCCTGGATGATGCTGTTGGCTGACCAAGAGATGGGGATGAGGATGAGGATACCGGCGACGATGAAGATGATGCCGGAGAGGATCATGACCTTGGCTTTGGCGGTGTCATCCTCCACGCAATTGGTGCACTTGCCGCCGGCGACGGCCAGCAGGGTGCCCAGGATGGCCAGCACGATGGCCACCACCACCATGGCACGGGCGGCTTGCAGGTCCTGCGGCAGGGCCAGCAGCGAGTCGTACACCTTGCACTGCATCTGGCCCGTGCTCTGCACCACGCAGCTCATCCACAGCCCTTCCCAGATGATCTGTGCCACCACGATGTTGTTCCCGACAAAGGCCGTCTCCCGCCACATGGGCAGTGCGCAGCAGAGGATGGAGGCCAACCAGCCGATGACGGAGAGGGCGATGCCCAGCACCTGCATCCCCATGGAGGCCATCGCTCGCTGCCTGCTTCCCTGCCCGCCTCCCGCCGCGCAGTGCCGGCTGCCGGGCCCATGGCAGGCATTATATGCCTTTGCCGAGGGAGGAGCGCCGCCGCAGCCGCCGGCCTGCCGCCGGCACCGGATGGAGGGGTAGAACCAGTTTCCCGGGATTCTTCCACTTGTATTTCTCCCTGCAGCGATGACACTTAATATCCCGGTTGCTCCCACGGAGGAGGATACAGGGGACTGGGATCAGGCCACCCAGGTGTAGGAGTGCATGCCATTGCTGTGGGCAGGCAGGACGTGCCCAGGGCAGCACTAGGGCTCAGCCTGGGATGCTAAAGGGGAAGAGCTGGTGTCCAGGCACCAGGATATCTCTGCCATCCCTGCCAGAACCCTCTGCTCCATCACTTGGATGGGGTCCCTTCACGCTTTCATGCCTCAGTTCCCTCCAGCTCATAGTGACTGCTCCAATCCGGCCTCTTGCCCCCCCATGGCCCCATGCCGAGGGAGGTGCACATTGTCCCCTCCGGCTGCTGGGCTCCGTGCCCAGCAGGACACAAGCGGCTCTTGTTTGCTCCTTGGCGTCCATACCAGCACTTCCAGCCCTCCATCAGGCCTCGGGCAGGAGGTGCCACCGCCCAGACCAACAAACCGGTTGGAGCGGCTGCCGGTTCCCCACAAAGGAGAGACAGCACTGCCTGGGGCAACAGGGGGACAGACCCCAAACCAGCTCATCTGTGCTCCAGTGCCAAGCCAGGGCTCACACAGCCACCCTCAGCCCCAGCTCTGCCCGTGTCCCACTGCCTGCATGGTGGGGTTAGGTGGGTTGGGGTTGTGAGGGGCAGATGTGGCCTCGAGCTGCCCCAGAGCCATACCCACTGATCCCACTGATCATACCCAGAGCCACATCCACTGATCCCAGTGCTGATGCCAATACCGATGCCAGCACTGATGCCATACTGATGCTGCCCCTGTCCTCTTTTAATCCATGACTCCAATGCAGGCTCCCTCCCTGCTCCCTCCAAGCCCCTGTACAGGCACAGCACAACACCAGACAGACATTGCACTGTTTCATCACCCTAGCTTAATCCTGGGCCCCTGGAAAAGATAAGAAGAACGGAGATAATCTTAGTTTTCCTGAGCACTGGGGTTACCATCATGATCCAACCATTTGTGCTTATTGCTTGGTGCGAGGGACACTGCTCATGCCAGGATGTCCCTGGGCATCATGTCCCAGTGTGGTGGGACAAGCCTGGTGGCCCATGCACCGCAGTGCCAGGAGGATGTCTGGGGACATGTCTCACAGCAGACCCCAACCTAAGGAGATGGTCATGGTCCTGCCTGCCTGACTTGTGCCAGTGGAGCTGCCCAGGTCCGTCCCTCTGTCCTGCTGGAATGCTCGCATTGCTCACATACCAGTGTGTCCAGCCTGCAGCCAGAACCTTGTGGTCAAGGGTTCCCTTTAATCTACAGAGCTCCGGAGCATCCCCGCCGGGGCCAGACCCTGCCTGAGGCTTTCACCTCCCAGCCGGCTGCTGCAACCACTGCCTTATTTGGGGTTGGAGAGAGGCACACGCCCAAATGTGTGTGTGGCTCACAGCAGCCGTGTCCCCGCAGGCACGTGGGGACATGTCTGTGGGCTGGGGACAAATGGCAAGGTGGGGACAGGGATTCCCTCGCGCACAGAGCATCAAAACTTGAGCTGTTCATACTCCCCCTCGGAGGCAGAGCAGGCGCCAGCACAGCCTGTGACAGCCAATGACTGTAATTAATGCTGGAACGTGACATATCTTCCACCTGGCAGCTGCCACACAGGGGCAGCCCCTGTGCCCTGCCCCACATTCCCAAGTGACACACCCACCCGGACAGCACTGCCAGCCCCGTGTCCCCCGCACTGCCAGCCCCGTGTCCCCAGCACTGCCGGACAGCAGGACCGTCAGACACCAGCTTGGCGTGGAGGAGCAGCAGCCAACCCCAGAGCCCTTGGAGCCTGAGGATGGTAGTGCAGCATAGGGGGACCACCAAGAACCTCAGAACATGCCATCCAGGACAAGCACTCCACAGACACCAGCCCCACATGGACACCAGCCCCACAGCCCTGTCCCAATGCTAATTCCCAGTGCTTCCTGTAGGACCCCAACCCAGATTTTCCCCAGTGTCAGCTGCAAGGAACCATGGCACAGGCACATGTCCTGGTGGGACCACAGCCCAGTTGCTCAGCAGGAAGCTCCTCTACCCCAAAACAGGCTGCTCAACACATTCAGCCCATCCTGAGCCTTCACCACACAGCACTTGTCCCAGCACCCACTCAGGTGTAGATGCCTTGCCCCAAATGCAGTGGGATTTGAAGGACATGCAGGAGCCAGGGCTCCCATCCCTGTTACACTGCACTAAGATGGTGTGTGAAGGCAGAGCTCCCGTTCTGGCACATCCATCAGGAAACACCTTCTGACACTTTCCCTGGGTTCACCAGCATGGGGACACACTGCAGCCCCTCAGCTGAGCAGTGAGGCCATTCCCAGGCACAAAGGTGACATTAAACGCAGTGTCACCACAATGCCAGGCACTGCTGGGTGAACAGCAGAGGCTGTGTTACCCTGGCCTTGCTCAGGGTGGAGGAAACTCTGCAGGGAGAGGGCTTGGGGCATGAATCTCCTGCCAAAAAGGGCTTGGGGACATCCCCACCCACGACATGGGTGTCAGTCCCACCACACATACCCCACACCACTGAGGAGGGAAGAGCCCTTCATCCCCCAGGACCCACATATGGACCCACCAACCTGGCTACCTCAAGGTCCCAGAGAGGCAGGTGAGACTTGCCAGCAAACGATGATCCACCGGGATTTCTGGCTTCACATCTGCTGAGCAAGGCACGGCCAATAACCCTCCCACTCAGCCTCTGAGCAGTGGGGCAGCTTCTCCCCGCTGGAGGCCGAGGATTAGTTACCGACAGCCCAGAGACTGAATGTTCCCAAATAACATCCTTGCCCAACTTAAATCCCTCCGACCGACTCAAATATGCACAGTCAGGTTGTTTATCGCTATGGGAAAGCAAAGTCTTATCAGGAGGGGAACCGTGCGCCGGGACCTGTGGGGTCCCTGCAGGTCTCCAGCAGGGAGAGAAGGGACCTTCGGCCTGAAGTCGCTCTGAAACTCAAAACTCTGTCCGGTTTCTATGCAACAAGTGGCTCCCAACAGGGAAAACACCCCTAAGTGCTGCCAAGGTGTTGGCGAAGGTATGGGGGAGATGGTGGATCAGGAAGGGGGTCTCGGGAGGTGCAATGGGAGCTCCCCACGGGTGATGCTCGGAGGAAGCGGGATGCCACGGCAAAGCCCTGGGGAAGACGATCAGATCTGTCCGGGTGGGGAAGCCCCAGGCATGGTTCAGAACCACCAGCCCCCTGACACATCCCGCCGGTCCATGTCCCCCGCCGCCCCCAGCCCCCGTGTGCCGCAGCCGCCTCCCCGCCCCGCCGGCACACAGAGCTGCCATTGATGCTCGGAGCCGCCTCACCTGCTCCCGCCGCGCCGAAGGGGCTCCAACAATGGGCTGCCTGTGTGCCCTGGCCGGGGCAGAGCCAGCAGCCCCGCGCCTGAAATATAAGCAGCCGAGGCGGCATTTACCGCCCCGGCCCCGCTCCCCCGGGGGAAAAAGCGCCGGCATCCGACCGCAGCGGCGGGGAACACCCCGGCCCCGCCGCACGCGTGAGTGGGACGCGGCCCCGCGGCGCCCGGGGCGGTTTCTGCCGTCACCTCCTGCGCACCCCGGGGTGCTGCCGGCTGCATGGATGGGGATGCTGCAGTGGGTGTCCCCCCCTGTCAGCGCAGGTGTCCTTCCTTTGGAGCCACCAAAAGGGTGATGCTCCCGTGACCTTCGCGTCTGGCATTTGTTTGGGGTCTCTGCATCGCAGTGGAGCAAACCTGTCCCCGTGTCACCTCAGAGTTCCTGCAGCCACCACACTTTGTCCCCATCCCCAGGGACTCGGATACTCCTCATCCCTCCCTGGCTGTGCGGGGGTGCAGAGGGACCGCAGCGGGGAGGGAGATGTAGCAGTTGGGATGGGGGTGCTCTCAGGAATCCCCCAGGAACGCTGGCCCTGCTCAGCTCCTCAGTAAACACTAGTGAGCTGCTTTGCTCACCACAAGAATGTGTCCTGCCGGGGGTGGCCGGCACCCCGAAACCCCGGTGATTTGCCCCTTCCTCCGTCGTGAGTCAGGCAGCAGCAGCTGCCCCAGGCTGGCACGACACCGGACACAGCCTGTATTTTGGGCAATTTGGGATGACAAAGTGGGGACGCCACATGTGGGGCTCTGATTGCAGGGTCGGGGGCTGTGATGTTTCACTGCCCTGTCCCACCCCAGCTCTGCCCCAGTAGCTCCTATCCCATATACCTGCCTTGAGTATCCCACTCTTCTCCTGTCCCACAGCCCTGCCTGGAACATCCTCCTTGTCCCATATCCCTATCCAGAGGTATCCCTCTCTCCTACTTCCCACTCCTATGCGGGTTATCTCCCCTGCCCCATATACCCGCTATTGAGTATGCCCACTGTTCGAAAAACCTGGGGATATAGCCCTGCCCCTATTCCTGTGCCTCACAGCCCTGTCTGGGGTGCCAACCTCCTTTCCCAGAGCCCTGTCTGGGGTATGACCCTGCCCCAAAGCCCTGGTTGGGGCATCCCCACACCCTACAGCCATGCCTGGGGTCCCCTCCTGGTCCAGAGCCCTGCCAGGGGAACCCCTGCCCACAGCCCTGCAGCCTCATGTGCACTGGGGGAGGGTGTGTATGTGTGCACCTGTACCACCGCCTGTTCACTTCTGCCTCTGTCAGTCTGTGTGTGTGAGCCTGAGCCTGCCTGTGAGTCTGTGTGTGTGTGTGTCTGTCTGAATCTGTGTCCGTGAGTCTGTGTGTGTCTGTGAACCTGTTGGTGAGTCTCTGTGTGTATCTGTCAGTCAATATGTCCGTGTGTCTGTCTCATGTGTCTGTGTGTCCATGAGCTTGTGTGTGTCTGTGAAACTGTTGGTGAGTCTCTGTGTGTATCTATCAGTCAATATGTCTGTGTGTCTGTCTCCATGTGTCTGTGTGTCCAAGTCAGTCGCTGTGTGTCCGTGTGTCTACGCGTCCGTGTGTTTCTGTGTGCGCTGCATGCCAGGCACTGCTGCCAGCAGAGGGTGTGTGGGGGGGGTTGTGTGTGCACCTGTCTGTGTGTTTGTGGTGTTTGTGTGTGCCTGCACTTTTCTGTGTGTCTGTGTCTTGTGTGTCTGCGTGTCTGTGTGTGTGCCTCTGTCTGTGTGTCTGTGATGTCTGTGTGTTTGTACCTGTGTCTGTGTGTGTGTCTCAGTGTGTTGACCTGTGTCTGTGCCTGTGCACTCCTGCACCCCGGGACCATGGGCACTCCCCTGCCTGCACATGTGGGGCCCTGTGACAGCACTGGACTGTGCACACCCACCCCGAGGTGCCCCCAAGGGCTAGGACCTCCAGTGCCCCCAGCAACATGGGCACAGGACCCTGGGGGCTGCTTGCATGGGCTGGGTCAGCTCTTGGTACCCCCAGCTGGCTGTGGGGATTTTTGGTGCCCTCAGAGGGGTGATCATGGTACAGTGGGGTGGCAGAAGCTCACCCAGCCAAGTACAGGATATTTTGGGGATGTCGTGGGTTGGCAGAAGCTGGATATGGGGGTATTGGGGTGTCACAGTGGGTGAAGGTCAGACATGGGGTGCTGCACGGGGCCGGAAGTCAAGCTGGGTGGATATGGGGTGACAAGGGGTGACAAGGGGTGGCAACAGCTAACCCAGATGTATATAGGGTATCAGTGTGCTGTGGGGTGACCCTGCTGACTATAGGGGTTCAGAGTGCTGCAGGGCAATAGAAGGTGCCACCTGTGTGGCACCCAAATCCAAGCCCTCTGGCTATGGGGTGTTGGGATACAGTGGGGGCAAAGAGCTCCAATCCCCCTGGCTGTGGGATGTCAGGGTACTGTGGGGTACAGCCAGGCAGTTGCAGGGCTCTCCCCCCCCCCATCCCAGCTGCACGGCGCCAGCTGCCAGCATCCCACTGCGCTCTTGAGTAGTTAATAAGTTGTAGAGGAGATTTTTGGAGCAGACAGGGAACAGGTAGGAGCAAGCCTGTGTCCAGCAACCACATTCCTGGGGGAGGGGGACTCGAAGCACTGGCACTACCCTCGGCATGCAAGGCTGGGGGGCGAAACATGCACCCCACAGCCATGGGGCTGTTGTTGCCAAGTCTGAAGGGATTGCTCATGCCTTGAGCTATTTTTCCCTGTGCTGGGTGCCAGCTCAGGTTGTCAGGGTGATGCTGCCGGGGTGGTTACGTGCATTATCTGCTTCCTTCAAGGTCACAAGACTTGTGCAGGATGAGTAAAGATATTTATCAGTCAGTCAGAGGATCTCTGACAGTGCTCCCAGCCCAGCAGGGTGGGAACAGGAGGGGCCAGGATGGGTTCCTGCTGGGCCAGGAGCACCCACAGCTCCCCTGGAAGGGTGACACAAGCCTCATGGCACGGCGGAGGGGTTGCACTTTGCACGGTGATGCAAAGGTGCCCGACGCTCACCAAAACCCAGTTAAACGTGAGCACTGACAACACTACAGAAATCAACATTTCCTCCATGAGAGAAAGGTGAACCCTTGGGATTTCCAGGCCCACAGAAAGGGCTTGGTGGGAACGAGCATGGTGGTAGTGCTTCCCGATACCCATGGGCCGAAACCAGGGGATGGCTGTGGCAGGTGGCGTTTCTCCTCCTCCCACCCTTCTCTGGTTACCCGGCGCCATCTCTGCAAACAAAGGGGAGGGTGTGGGACACAGGTGACGGTGACGGAGGAGCACAGAGGAGCGTCCAGCAGCCAGCACTAAAACCCCACCCCGGGGCCAGCCCATATAAATAGCACTGCGCACAGGTGTAAGCCGATCCCCCGGCTGCGAGCGGCGGCGGGTGGCGGCGACGGTCTCGGTCCGTGGGTTCTTCTCTGCCATCGCCCGGAGCGCGTCACTGAACCGTCCACCATGTCGATGGGGCTGGAGATCGGCGGTGTGGCCTTGTCTGTGCTGGGCTGGTTGTGCAGCATCATCTGCTGCGCGTTGCCCATGTGGAAGGTGTCGGCCTTCATCGGCAACAACATCGTGACAGCCCAGATCCTCTGGGAAGGGCTGTGGATGAGCTGCGTGGTGCAGAGCACGGGCCAGATGCAGTGCAAGGTCTACGACTCCATGCTGGCGCTCCCGCAGGACCTGCAAGCCGCCCGCGCCCTGCTGGTGGTGGCCATCATCTTGGCCGTCCTGGGCTTAATGGTGGCCATCGTGGGCGCCCAGTGCACCCGCTGCGTGGAGGACGAGAGCACCAAAGCCAAGATCACCATCGTCTCCGGCGTCATCTTCCTCCTCTCCGGTGTCATGACCCTCATCCCTGTCTGCTGGTCGGCCAACACCATCATCCGGGATTTCTACAACCCGCTGGTGATCGAAGCGCAGAAGCGGGAGCTGGGCACCTCGCTCTACGTAGGCTGGGCGGCCTCTGCGCTGCTGCTGCTTGGGGGGGGGCTACTCTGCTGCTCCTGCCCCCCCAAAGACGACAGGTACCCCACGGGCAAGGTGGCCTACTCCGCCCCACGCTCCGCTGTCACTAGCTACGACAAGAGGAACTATGTCTGAGCACCCCCAGGGTCCCCCGGCACCCCTCGATATCCCCCACCCCACCCTCCAACCCTGGGACCCTCACTGCCCTCCGTGGGGCCCGGGGGCGGCCGCGCCGGGGCAGGGGGGGCGCGAAGGAGGGGACGGGGACGGCCGCGGGGTCAGGGCCGGGCTGTGTAAATAGAGACGGTTTCGGTTAAACACGAGGCAGTTTCGGGTCGGCGGGAGAAGCGGCACCCGGCGAGGTCCTGCCATGCCGATGGGGCAGGATGAGGACGGGATGGGGACGGTGCCCCCCTGCTGTGTCCCTCCATCGCTGCTGGCCCGGCACCGTCTGTCCCTGTTACGCGTGGTCTGTACCGGTTACATTTGTCAATAAACGTGTCCTGTTTTGGTACCCCAGTGTTCTTGAGATGTGAGGTGAGCACAGGGAAGGGGAACACGGCGGTCCAGCCCCGCAAGGCACCCCACACACCCGAGTGGCACCGGGCTGGGGACGGAGGGCTCAGCCCCGCTCGGGGTGGGGACCCGTTGTCCCCCTGCATTCCAGGGGCAGCTCTCGGGGAACGGCCGGGGCAGGAAGCAGCGGAGGAGCCGCTGGATGCCGCAGGGACACTCCCTACCCGCAGTCCAAAGTCTGGGGCCGCCGGGGGGGCCGCGAGGCGCTTCCCTCGCCCGGGAGCCGCGCTGGGGCGAGGCCGCCCTGCCAGGCCGCTCCCTCCGCCCGCCGCCACGCTCCAGCGGGCAGGGACAAAGGGGCGAGAGCCGCCGCAGGAGAGCGGGGCCGGTCCTGGGGAAAGCGAGACCGGGGGCGGCGAATGCGGGGCTGAGCCGGCCGGTCCCGCTGTGCCTGCGGGCGACAGCGGGCGGAAGAGCCCTGCGGAACCCCCGCAAGGAGCCGGCCCGCCCGGCTCGCTTTCCCCGGGCCCAGCCCCCCGTCCCCGGTGCCCGCGGGGGCGGCAGCGGCAGCGGCCGGGCCGTGACCCTCCCCGTGCGCGCTGCCGCCGTCCTGCCGCGGGGGGGCGCCCGTCGCCGGCGGGGCGGGGCGGCCGCGCACGTCGCGTCACGGCCCGCGCGCCGCCGCCGCCATGATGCTCCGCCGGCTGCCCCGCGGCCGCGCCCCGCCGCCCCTCCCGCAGCCCGCCGCCGCCGCCGCCCGCTCCGTGGCCACGTAAGGGCCCGGCCGCGCGCGGGGTGGGGCGGGGGCGGCGGGAGCTGTCCCGGGGGGGAATCCCGCGAGCAGGGGCGTGACCGGCACGAGGGAGCGGACACGCCCCCCCTCCAGCCACGCCCCTTGTATCGAGGTTCTCCTCAGGGGTTTGACCGCGGCCTTGCCCCGCTGCCCTTGGCCCAGCCCCGGCCAGGCTCTCCCGGAATGCCGGGCTGGGCCAGGCTGGGAGGGAGCCCAGAGGTGCCTGTTCCACCTCCCTGGGTGGCATCCCAGAGTCCAGGGCACAGCATTGTGTGCAGAGGCTGGGCAGGATCCCCGCTGAGGGAGACTCCAGCCCCTCCCTGGGCAGCCTGGGCAGGGCTGGCACTGCCCAGGGCAGAAGTTGTGCCTCCTGTGCAGGGGCAGCTCCTGGGCTCAGCCCTGCCCGTGGCTCTGGTGCCACTGCTGGGCCCCGGAGCAGAGCCTGGGCCCTGCTCTGCCCTCCCTGCACACAGGGACAGCCAGGCCTGAGGGCCCCTCTCAGCTGGGGCTCCTCTCCAGCCCGAGCAGCCCCGGCTCCCTCAGCCTTTCCTGGGCACAGAGATGCTCCAGGCCCTCCTCATCCTCACACCTGAGCTGGCCTCGCTCCAGGAGCTCCATGTGTCCCTTTTCCTGAGGGGCCCAGGACTGCACACAATACTCCAAATGTGCCTCACCAGGGCTGGGCAGAGGGGCAAGGCTCACTTTCCCCTGCACCTCTGGCTATATCCCATTCCTGTCTCCCTGCAGTGCAGTGCCCCTGGCCCATGTGGTTGTAGAGGGTCATAACAATCGGCCACCCCTCGTCCTGCTCCACGGCCTCTTTGGCAGCCACAGCAACTTCCAGACAGTAGCCAAGACACTGGTGCGCCGTGGTAGTGGCAAGGTGAGACCCAGGGATGGGGAGAAGCACAGCACAGGGAGGGGTCCAGGATCATGTTGGGCAGTGCCTGCGGTGACACGCTGCCCCTGCCCAGGCAGGTGCTGACAGTGGATGCCCGGAACCACGGCAGCAGCCCCCACAGCCCCGTGATGACGTATGAAGCGATGAGCCTGGACGTGCAGCACCTCCTGAGCCGCCTGGGCATCACCAAGTGCATCCTCGTGGGACACAGCATGGGGGGCAAGACAGCCATGACGCTGGCCTTGCAGCGGGTCAGCAGGCACAGGGGTGGGAGTGGGGTCACAAGCTCAGGAAGTTCCAGGGGGGCTGTAGGAAGGGGATGGCACCTTCTGAGACTGTACCCCATGGCCAGCCTTGCCCCCAGCTCCACAGGGACTTATCTGTATCAGGGTGGGTGGTGTAAGCCAGGCTACAGGAGCAGGAGCAAATCTATGTCCACCAGCCCATGCTCTGCCCTGTCCCTCCAGCACCAATTGTGAGGGAGCTTGGAGATCTATGCCAACAACAACTCTGGGAAGGGCACATGGAGGTCTCTGCTAAGACAGGAGGGAGCAAAGAGCCTCCAGGGAATCTGACTGGGAGTGCAGCCCTGTGCCCACTGGGGAGATCTTGGGAGATCCTGGCATCTGCTCTGCCCTGCTTGTGTCTCCAGCCAGACCTGGTGGAGCGCCTCATCTCCGTAGACATTGGTCCTGGCTCAACCGCTGCCGTGTCTGAATTCTCTGCCTACATCTCGGCCATGAAGGATGTGAGGGTCCCGGCGGGGCTATCCCGCTCAGCGGCACGCCAGCTGGCAGATGACCAGCTGCAGCCCGTGGTCAAGGTAGGAAATCCCTTGGGAGATGGGGAGGATGGAGGGTGCCAGGACATCCTGTTTGGTTTCTCTAACTGAAGAGCACATGATCCCCTTCCATGGCAGCTCCCACAGCTGAGACAGTTCCTCCTCACCAACCTGGTGGAGGTGGAGGGCTGCTACGTGTGGCGGGTGAACCTGGAGGCTATTTCCCGGCACCTGGCAGATATCATGAACTTCCCTGTCTTCCACAAGCCATATCCTGGTCCTGCACTCTTCTTGGGAGGGTCCGACTCACCCTATATCAGGTGAGACTGGAGAGAAGCGGTTCTAGGTCTGTGGTTTGACCTTTCGTGCTCTTTGCAGCTGCCAAGAGTGGGAGGAGCCCCCGGCATGGGGAAGGTCTTTAGCAAGGGCTGTTCCTCCAGCAGCCAGTGACACTGCCACCAGAGTGAGGGGGAACCTGGGGGCCCCCTGGGCTTTCTCAGCAGGAAAGGAGTCATATCTGGGATCAAACTCTGCTTGGGGAGGGTGAGGGAAGACGCCAGGAGGGACCTCTGATCGTGGCATGTTCCCTTTTCCTGCAGCTCCAGAGACTACCCAGAGATCCAACGTCTCTTCCCCAAGGCAGAGATCCAGTACATTAAAGGTGCAGGCCACATAGTCCATCAGGATAAATTTGAAGAATTCATCACTGCTGTCCTCAATTTCCTGCCACAGCTGTAGCACTGGGGACGAGGGTTTCTGCAAGGACTGTGTGGGTCCTGAGGAGCTCTGGACAGTGATGCAGGGCTCGGGCTCTGAGGATGGGCTCAGCTGGAACTGGCTGCCCTCACTGCAGTCTGATCCTGCCTGCAAGACCTTCTCCCATCCTGGTTCTCCTGCAGCTGAAGCAGAGAGGCACCTGCATCCTGCTGAGATCTCCTGCCACCTCTCAGGGATATGGGATGCCACTGGCTCAGAACACTGTCCTGCCTGCACGGGGGTATCAGGCACACAGAAGAGGCAGGACAGCACTCTTGTTTTCCTGCTGCCAGACCCTTCCATGGATCTGGCTGTGACTTTGCAGAATGCGCAATAAAGCTGAATCCATGCCAAGGCAGAACAGGGGTTGGATGTGGCCGTGGTGGGCAGGGCACGTGTGGGGGGCATAGGAGAGGTTCTCAGTTGGCAGCAGGGATGCTGGTGGGAGATGACAGCTGGACTGGGCCCTAATGTGACAAGCTGTAGGAGCAGTGCACATGAGACACAGGTTTGAGGATCTTTCTTGGCTTCCAGGGGAAATTGCATCCTTGCTCTGTGCCTGGGGCAGTGTAAGGATTGGGGAGTGGGGGAATCTACCTCCTGAGCAAGGAGCATGTTTGCCCAGGCTGTCCCAAAGGCAGGCATCACTTCATCCCTGAACTCCTGACAATTTCTCTCCTCCCACCTGCTCTGCATCCTCCCAAGGCAGCATAACACCCACCAGCCATGGGCTGGAGGCAGAGGAGTAGGGTGTCTGCTGCAAAAATCCCTTTATTGGACAACTGGTAAAGCTAGGGACAGGGCAGAAGTGACTATGGGGGTAACAGATCATCTCTGTCACAACTTGGGACAGGCTGTGTGTGCAGACAGTAGAGAGACACACTAACCATCTCTGCTTTTGCTGCTCCAGAGCCAGGTGTCTCCTCTCCTCTCCTCTCCTCTCCTCTCCTCTCCTCTCCTCTCCTCTCCTCTCCTCTCCTCTCCTCTCCTC